AATTGAGCTGAAATTTTGTAGGCAACTATGCGATAAAGTACACACTCGCATAGAAAACTCGTTTTAACAATCATTGAAAGCACTTAAACACGTTATCAATCAATAATAACAAGCCAATAAGTCAATGGAAATATAGACAAACAAGGGAACACTCACCTTGACGCAAAAACAACACGGGGTAAATATATCCTTCCGGAATTATTCTCAGTCACGACAGGAATATCTAAATAAGCGACGAGAAAGAATATTACAGATGCATCTAGCACACAATTAGGATGAATCAAAGAAAACTCGACAATTTATGAGTAGAACGCTACAAAAGAGACTTTCTAAGTGAAACGAGGACATTTGCACCCGTGCTAACAAAATATAACTAGGGTTTCAAATAGAACGCACTAACCAGCTTAAAAAGGCCTTATTGAAATTCCGCGGTGAAAACATTTGGACTAACGACAAATCAAAGAGACAAATAGCATAGGCTAAGAAATTATTCTTCGGCAATCGTAAAGAATCGTTTGTATGACTAAAAGTCACTGATATATTCAAGTAGAGGTTATTAAACAAGGGTTTTTGGATGAATCATATGGAAAAGGCGAATACTCTTAAAACCGTACTTGAAAGTAGCTTCACTTGTGTGCGCCAGATAACCCTAACTCAATACTTCTATATTTTGCAGGTACGAGTAAGTAAACATTTGCGTTTTCAAATCGAAGAGGTATCATGTTTTGGAATGGTAAAACGGTCATAGTATTTGCCAAACGAAAATATACAAATTTAAATAGAAACTTAGTCCTTGAGCGAAAATTTGGGCAGCACGCCCTTTGTGTTTACCAAATTTTCCAGCCATTTTGGCTTCATTATTTTTCTCATTCAAGCCCAAGTTTATACACAACACAAATGCATTTCAATAGCTGTTCCATAGGCTCAAGACAATACAAGGACATAAATAAACTCATAACAAATGCGGAAATGAAGTTTACAAAAACACAGATTTGATAGGGTTTTGCGGAATGGGCACATCCGAGGCTACGCTTATCAGATTGAGGTGAAACTTATACCATTTCGAAGCTAAGACAGGGGGCTACAAGATTGAAGAAGGTCACTCAGTCCAGTTTGCAGTGCAACTAGGTCAAAAGATCAGTATACCAAACCAGCACCGTCAAAACAGGTTTACAAACCGCATTCTGGCTCAAATATCATAAGTCAGGCTCCCTAAGTCCAAATCAAGTGATTCCAAAGCCATTTGAAAGCTAAGATACAAGGCTACATTTCTTAAGAAGGCGTCAATATCCAAATCAGAAGTATTCCTAACGAAATTAACCAATTACAGAAGCAATTATCAAGTTCGGGTAAAAACAGGGCAGCAGGGGTATTTCAGTCTTTTCACAGGCTACGTTGCTCCGATTGAGCTGAAATTTTGTAGGCAACTATCCGATAAAGTACACACTCGCCTAGAAAACTCGTTTTAACAATCATTGAAAGCACTTAACACATTATCAATCAATAATAACAAGCCAATAAGTCAAGGAAATATAACAAACAAGGAACACTTCACCTATGTAGCGCAAAACAAACATGTAAAATATCCTTCACGATATTATTCTCAGTCACCAGAGAAAAATCTAATTAAACGAGAAGAATATTACAAGATTCATCTAGCCGCAACAATTAGGGCAATCAAAGAAACTCGACAATTATTGCTAGTAGAACGTACAAAAGACTTTCAAAGTGAAACGAGCGACATTGAACCCGTGAACAAAAATTAACTAGTGGTTTCAAAATCAATCGGCAAAACCCAAGGTTAAAAGGCTATTGATTCCGACGCGCAAAACATTTGACTAACGCACAAATCAAAAGACAAATAGATAGCGCTAAGAAAATATTCTTTCGGATCGTAAAGAATCGTTTGTATGACTAAAAGTCACTATATATTCAAGTAGAGGTTATATAACAAGGGTTTTGATGAAAATCATATGGAAAAGGAAGACTCTTAAAACCGTACTTGAAAGTAGTTCACTTGTGGCCGATAAAACCCTAACTCATACTTCTATATTTTGGGTACGGAGTAAGTAAACATTTTGCGTTTCAAATCGAAGAGGTATCATGTTTTGGAATGGTAAAACGGTCATAGTATTTGCCAAATGAAAATATACAAATTTAAATAGAAACTTAGTCCTTGAGCGAAAATTTGGGCAGCACGCCCTTTGTGTTTACCAAATTTTCCAGCCATTTTGGCTTCATTATTTTTCTCATTCAAGCCCAAGTTTATACACAACACAAATGCATTTCAATAGCTGTTCCATAGGCTCAAGACAATACGAGGACATAAATCAACTCATAACAAATGCGGAAATGAATTTTACAAAAACACAGATTTGATAGGGTTTTACGGAATGGGCACATCCGAGGCTTCGTTTATCAGATTGAGGTGAAACTTATGCCATTTTGATGCTAAGACAGGGGGCTAGAAGATTGAAGAAGGTCACTCAGTCCAGTTTGCAGTGCAACTAGGTCAAAAGATCAGTATACCAAACCAGCACCATCAAAACAGGTTTACAAACCGCATTCTGGCTCAAATATCATAAGTCAGGCTCCCTAAGTCCAAATCAAGTGATTCCAAAGCCATTTGAAAGCTAAGATACAAGGCTACATTTCTTAAGAAGGCGTCAATATCCAAATCAGAAGTATTCCCAACCAAATTAACCAATTACAGAAGCAATTATCAAGTTCGGGTAAAAACAGGGCAGCAGGGGTATTTCAGTCTTTTCACAGGCTACGTTGCTCCGATTGAGCTGAAATTTTGTAGGCAACTATGCGATAAAGTACACACTTGCCTAGAAAACTCGTTTTAACAATCATTGAAAGCACTTAACACATTATCAATCAATAATAACAAGCCAATAAGTCAAGGAAATATAACAAACAAGGAACACTCACCTATGTACGTAAAACAACTGGTAAAATATCCTTCCGGCTATTATCCTCAGTCACCGAGAAAATCTAAATTAAACGAGAAAGAATATTACAGATCATCTAGCACAACAATTAGGTGCAATCAAAGAAACTCGACAATTATTGAGCAGAACGTACAAAAGACTTTCAAGTGAAACGAGGACATTTGGACCCGTGAACAAAAATAACTAGGGTTTCAAAATCAATCGCAAAACCAAGCTTAAAAAGGCTTATAGAATTTCAACGGAAAACATTTGACTAACGACAAATCAAAAGACAAATAGATAGGCTAAGAAAATATTCTTTCGGAATCGTAAAGAATCGTTTGTATGACTAAAAGTCACTATATATTCAAGTAGAGGTTATATAACAAGGGTTTTGATGAAAATCATATGGAAAAGGAAGACTCTTAAAACCGTACTTGAAAGTAGTTCACTTGTGGCCGATAAAACCCTAACTCATACTTCTATATTTTGGGTACGGAGTAAGTAAACATTTTACGTTTCAAATCGAAGAGGTATCATGTTTTGGAATGGTAAAACGG